CATGCGTCCGGGGATCATTTGCAAGTTTTGCAGGGAAAATTACTATCTCGAGAACCACGAAAGCTAGGGTGCTGAAATTTCAGGGCAGTGCCCCCTGCTTACGTACAACCTCGCAAATTCGAGTTCAGTTTTCACATAAGCCTGATCCCACGTGCGGCCTCGCGGAAGTTTTGGCGGGAAAAATTATCTTAGGAGCGAGATAAGCTGGGAGACTAAAAACTTTAGGCTGGTGTCTTCTGCTTATGCAAGGCCCTAACAAACTCAAATTCGGCTCCCACGTATGACGAAGTCTCGCGTGCGACCACCTGAAAGTTTTGGCGCAAAAGTTGCTCGGGGCCAGAGAACTAGAAGGCTGAAATTTTGGGGCAGTGTTCACTCCCAGGATTTAAGACTCAGCTTTCATGTACGTTTGCGTTTCACGTACTGGCACGTGAATTTTTAATGGAAAATTTTATGTCTTGGGGACCAAAAAGCATGTTGATTATTTTTCCAAAATGTAAACAATGAAAGTCCTAAGAAGACAAACGTCTGCTGGTCGAAATTGCCCAAAACACTTGATCACACCGGTTACTTTGGTTCGCGCCGCTGTTTATTACGGCTAGCCTCTGGAAACTTGACCACCGTTTGCTCATTCATCGCCGGTTAAACTTTCGTGAGTTTTGTGTGATGAGTTTGATGTTATTTTCAGAAATCCATGGTTATTTCAGATAGATCCAACGGCAAAAATTGGGCCCAATGTAAGTGTTGGCGCGAAAGCGCGAATTGCAGCCGGTGTGCGAGTGCGGGAAAGTATTGTGTTAGCTGAAGCGATAATCAACGAACATGCGTGCGTGTTGCATTCAGTAATTGGATGGCGCAGTGTTGTTGGTGCATGGGCACGCGTGGAAGGAACACCTGTTTCACCCAATCCGAACATTCCTTTTGCTAAACTCGATAATAAACCATTGTTCAATATTGATGGCCGACTAAATCCATCACTGACAATTCTTGGATCAGATGTCCACGTTCCGGCGGAAACAGTCATTTTGAACTCCATCGTTCTTCCGTACAAAGAGCTGACAGCCAGTTACAAGAATCAAATTATATTGTAGATGGATGTACTGGCGCGTACGCTTAGTCGTCCCCTCACAATCTATTGATTCCTCTGAATCACAGTGTTTTTGATGTGTATTAAAAGTGGATTTTAATTTGCATATCAAATTTAGTGATTTGAGAATCACGAGAAAGGCACTCCACCCAGCTCGACATTGTGTTCTGCCCTATTCTGTCAGTGGCCCGAATTGTACTGGCATTTATTTCTGCACTAGCCTCAGACTCGCATGTTCGCAACTGATTTATTTCAGTGAATGAAAACATTCCGCTCCACCTTTCGAGTGCTTATGGGTGAGATTGCATCGTAGTTTGTTATTCATTTTCGGCCGTTAATTACTTTGGTTTGTCGAAATACCTTCAGGGAGTTTGTTTCTTTTATTGTAAGGGACAGTTATTTAGCGCTGCGACCTTCTTTATTGCTCTTATTCTTTTGGAAGACAGTTTGTTATCATCTTATTGCTTCTAAGGATGGTTTGTTTTCTTTTGTCTTTTTCCAGAACAGTAAATTTTTTTGGGGGTGTGAGGAGTAGCGTGATTTTTTGCAGTGTCGTTATGACTGCAGGCAAGTGAAAGGAACAACATTATTTTATTGTACAAGATTTACCCAGGCTGGAACGCACCAGGCGAGCCGGTGCGGTCATGCGTTTTTGAATCAAACTTTGAAGTACCCCATCAAATTTCCCTGCCCTACCCCTCCACCCGCTGCTTCCGCCCCTCCCTCTCCCGCCTCCGCCGCCCCTGTTCGGGGCATGCATCTTTTCGAAGCGGTGATATTGGGCTGCAATACACAGTACGATGACTAAGCGGTACTCTGTGAGTACTGTACGATACGGCGCGCTGTGGTGCACAACCCCCCCGCTGAGCGACCAGGCCCTGTTCACTTTGTTTGTTTCGTTCGTGGGTGGCCGTGGTTGTCCTCGGTGTTCGGGGGGGAGGAGGAGGGGAGGAGGGGGG